CTTCGAGACATCTTTTTACTTGCTTTCTTTATCTTATACCTCTTCTCCTTTTTTAACCTCCCATTCTTCTCCTTATTCCCCTTTCTCCTTCCCACTTATCCTTTACTTTTGTTCCCACCTTTCACTCATCTCACCTTTTATCTCATATTCTCTTCTACCTCTCCTTATTCCCCATTCCCTTACTCCCCTCTTCGCATGCCTTCTCTGTCTTTACTCCTTCGTTTCCCTATTTTCCCTTTTATATTTCCTCTCTCCCTACCTCTCTCTTTCTTCTTTTCCCCCTTTCCTATCTTCTTCCTCTCTCTCCCCCTCCCTTTTTCATCCCTTTTATCATCCTCCTCTCCCGTTTATATTCTCCTTCCCCTATGTCTCCCCATCTCCCCTTCCCCCCAATTTCACTCCTCTCTCACCCTTCTCCTCTTTATTCTCCCGTCCTTCCATGTCCCTTACCTCCATCCTTCACCCTTCCCCTTCTCACTCCTTATCACCCTCTACCCCTTCTTCCTTTCATTCTTGTCCTCGTTCCTCTCTCATTTCTTATCACCCCTCTATCCCTCCCTTCCTTTTATTCCTCCCCTCCCCTCCCCTTTCCCACCCTCCCCCCCACTCCCGTCCCCCCTCCAACCTCCTCCTCCTTATCTCCCCCTTAGCAGACGGGTGTTGGCTCGAGGGGAGGGGGAGGGAGGAGGGAAGGGAAGGGGGGAGGGGAGGGAAGGGGAGGCAGGGGAGGGGGGAGGGGGTCTTCAAGATATCTTGTGGGGTCGATGTCCGTCTTGGCGTTGGGAGAAGAGCTTTTTGTTGTTGTTGTTGTAGTTGTTATTATTATTAACTCATTATGTAATTTATTATTGTTATTATTATTATTATTATTATTATTATTATTATTAATTGTTATTATTATTGTTGTTATCATTATTATGTTTATTATTATTATTTACTATTGTCAATTACCATTATCATTTTATTGTATATTATCATCATCCTCATTATCATCATTATTATTGTTATTATCACCATTATTATTGTCATTATTAGTATTATTGTTATTATCAATATTTTTTTATTGTTATTACTATCATTATTGTTACTATCTTTATCGTTTTCATTATCATCATAATTATCATTATATTCATTAAAATTATCATTATTATTATCCTCATTATTTTCTTTACTACCATCATTATCATTATCCCCCTATTATTATCATTATCATCAAATTCTTTTTACTAATCTTTCCCTCCCTCTCTTCTCCCTTTCATTTCTCATCTATAACCTTTTTTTTACTCTTCATCTCTCCTCTCTTTATTTATTTTTTCTTTTAACCTCGTTCGCCTCTCTTCGTTTTACCTCTTCTGGGAAATTGCCGAGAAAAAGTAGTGTTTACGATGACGGAAAAGTTTTCATAAGAACAAAAGATGAGAATGTTTTTTTTTTTTTTTTTTTTTTTCTCTTTTCTCTTCCTTTCTTTCTGTTTTTTTTGTTTCCTGTCTTTTTCTCTCTTTCTCTTTCTCTCTCTCTCTCTCTCTTTCACTCTTTCTCTCTCTCGCTCTCTCTCTCTCTCTCTCTCTCTTCTCTTCTCTCTCTCTCTCTCTCTCTCTCTCTCTCTCTCTCTCTCTCTCTCTCTCTCTCTCTCTCTCTCTCTCTCTCTCTCTCTCTCTCTCTCTCTCTCTCTCTCTCTCTCTCTCTCTCTCTCTCTCTCTCTCTCTCTCTCTCTCTCTCTCTCTCTCTCTCTCTCTCTCTCTCTCTCTCTCTGTCTCTCTCTCTCTCTCTCTCTCTCTCTCTCTCCAATAAATGACAGAGCAAACACGTCCATAATATGAAAACTTTTCACTCGTAGAACAAGTGAAACATTGCAACAAGAGAACAAATGAAAAATAAAGTTTGCAATGATACAGGAAGAAAAAAAACAACAGTAGAGGAAATGATAAAAAATAGATTCTTTGCAATGATACAGGGAGTTAAAATACAATAACAAAATTTTCGTAGTAACATGGGAAACAAATATGCCATAACTTGCAATAACTGAAACTTTGAAACATTTTTATGTCAGTTCTTATGCTAAATACGCCTCGCAAAAGATAAAGTATTTTTCGGTGAGGTTCTTGTGTGTCGTAACTTAACCCTGAGTATCTGTATTCGGTGTAACTTCCTCTCATCTTTATTCAATTATCTACTTTTATGTCTTCGTTTAAGTTTTTTTTTATTTATTTATTTATTATTTATTTATTTTGTCTAAGTTTGTCGGTCTTTATGTTTTTTTTTGTTCTATCTTTGTTCTGTTGTGGGATTTTTTTTTATTATTGTCTTGTGTCTATTTGTGTATGTCTGTCTGTTTCTTTATCTGTCTTTTTGTTTGTCTCTATCTATGTTTCTTCGTCTGTCTATTTGGTTTTCTCTTTCTTCTGTCTCTTCTATGTATAAGTCTGCGTATCTCTGCTTACGTTTTTTTTATTTTATTATTTTTTTAATCTATCTATCTTTCTCCTTTTATCAACCTCCCCCAAGATGTTTATCTATTAACTAATATGCCCCTCTCTTCTTCCCAAGATTCCTCTCTCTCTATCTATCTCTGTCATTCTCTCTCTCTCTCTCTCTCTCTCTCTCTCTCTCTCTCTCTCTCTCTCTCTCTCTCTCTCTCTCTCTCTCTCTCTCTCTCTCTCTCTCTCTCTCTCTCTCTCTCTCTCTCTCTCTCTCTCTCTCTCTCTCACTCTCCTCTTCTCTTCTTCCTCCTTCCCCTCTTCTTCTACAACCCCAAATAGGGCGAAAAAAGAAAAGAAAGAGAGAGAGTGAGAGAGAGAGAGAGAGAGAGAGAGAGAGAGAGAGAGAGAGAGAGAGAGAGAAGAGGAGAGAAGAGGAGAGAGAGAGAGAGAGAGAGAGAGAGATAAATAGATAGATAGATAGATAGATAGATAGATAGATAGATAGATAGAGAGAGAGAGAGAGAGAGAGAGAGAGAGAGAGAGAGGAGAGAAAATACATTAACTTAACGTGAATAAGACCCAGGAGACGTGAGCGAGAATGATTCCTTGTATCTGTTGCGTAATGGGATAAAATACAGTGACCCGCGTTGTGGTGTGGGATGGTGTGATGCCGTATGGTGTTGTATGGTGTCGTATCAATGTGATGTGCGGTATCAGTGTGGTGTGGTTTTGGTGCGGTATGGTGTATGTTTAGTGTGGTATGGTGCGGTATTGTAAGGTGTGTGTTAGTGTGGTTATGTTGCGTATTGTTGTGGTATGGTGCGGTATGGGTTACGTATAGTGGTATGGTGCAGTATAGTGTGGTATTGGTGTATGTGTGTATGGTGTAGTATTAGTGTGGTATAGTGTGGTATGTGTAGTATCAGTGTGGTATGTGCGGTATGGTGTAGGCAGTGTGGTATTGTGCGATTTAGTATGAAATTGTGTATAGTGTGTGGTATGATGCGGTATGGCATCAGTGTGGTATGGTGCGCTTTGTATTTAGTATTAGAGTGGTATTGTGTGGTATGGTGCATTTTGGTATAGTATTAGAGTGGTATTATGGTACGATTTAATACAGTATGATAAAGCAGTGTGGTATTATACGGTATGGTATGGTAACAAATTCCTCCCGTGCATATAAGAAAGAACACAGGAGCTATGGTATTGTCTGGTATGGTATGAGTGTAGAACAAAGGAGCTATGGTATTGTCTGGTATGGTATGAGTCTGGTATAGTGCAGTATAAGGTTACCAGCACTCATACCAAAGAAGATAAGGAGGAAGGACTAGCGTGAAAGATATACTTTTGTGGTATGAGTGTAGAACAAAGGAACTGTGGTATTGTCTGGTATGGTATGAGTCTGGTATAGTGCAGTATAAGGTTACTAACACTCATACCAAAGAAGATAAGGACGGAGGACTAGCGTGAACAGATATACTTGTGTGGAATATGTTATTAGCCTGTGGAATATATCATTAGGGTGTGGTGATATGTGAGAGGGGGGTGGGGGTGTGGGTGCGGGTGGGGGTGGGTGGGGTGGGGGTGGATCAATACTGTGTCTACCTTGAGTGCGTTAGTTTGTCGGTTTTGGAGAGGTGTTGCATATTTTTTTTCTTTTTTTTTCATAGGTTTATATTTTATTTATTATTATTATTTTTATCATTATTATTATTATTATTATTATTATTATTATTATTTATTATTATTATTATTATTATTATTATTATTATTATTATTATTATTGTTGTTGTTGTTGTTGTTGTTGTTATCATTGTCATTACCATTATTGATATTTTTGTTATCATGATTATTGATATTATCATTATCATTTATTATCATCATCATCATCATCATCATTATATCCTCATCATCATCATCATTATCATCATTATTTATTATTATTATTATTATTATTATTATTTATTATTTATTTATTTTTATTATTATTTATTTTATTATTATTATCATCATTATTATTATTATTATCATATCAATATTATTATTATCATATTATTTATCATCATCATCATCATTATATTTATCATTATTTTATCATAATTATCATTATTATCATATCTTATATCATTAATAATTATCATTATTTCATATTATTATCATTACCTTATTTTTAACTATCATTATTGGTATCCCTATTGTTATCACCATTAGTATAATCATCATTATTATCATAATAATTATCATTATCCCTATTTTTATTATCTTTATTTCATTTTTTTGTAGGTAAGCCATTACTCACACGGATACACCATACAATACCTACAACATCCCAAAATATCTTCGTTCGAAAATACATTTACGGTCTGACCAACGCTGTATCCAGTGTATATAATGCAGAAAATGTTGAATTAATACATTCTCTCTCGCTCTCTTTTTTTTTTTTTTTTTTTTTTTTTTTTTTTTTTTTTTTTTTTTTTGCAACTGCCGTTTTGAGTTCTGAATAATTTGCACGATTACTTGGCATCGATGCTTTTGATATTGTGGATAGTTATTTATGTACGAGATACGCGTTTTAGATGAAGTTTATAAATACTTCGTGAAATGATTTTTTTTTTACCTTCGCCAAGTATACGGTGTTTTTTGTTCATTGTTTCATGTGAACGAAAAGAAGCGAGAAAAGAATAAGAGGTATAGATAGATGGATGGATGGACAGATATAGGTAGATAGATAGATAGATAGATAGATAGATAGAGAGAGAGAGAGAGAGAGAGAGAGAGAGAGAGAGAGAGAGAGAGAGAGAGACGAGAGAGCGAGAGAGGAGAACGAGAGAGAGAGAACGAAAACGAGAGAGAACGATAGAACGAGAGACAACGATAACGAGAAAACGAGAGAGAACGAAAACGAGAGAGACAAACAGACAGACAAAAAGTTACAAAAAAATAAGACTGATAACAAAAAAAAAGAAAAAAGTCCAAACAGCTTTCATGACACATCGATTCTGCATTACAGACAGCTTACATGTTCAAATGACTGTGAAATGCCAGGCGACTGACGCAGTGTTACAGCCAGAGGCCAAGCTACAGCTGTACCAGAGCGAAGGGGGAAGTGGGAGAGGAAGAGAGAATAAGCGAGAGAGACGAAAGGGGAAGTGGGAGAGAGGATACAGAATAGGAGAGAGAGGAGAAAGGGGGAGTGGGAGAGGATACAAGAATAGGAGAGAGAGGAGAAAGGGGAAGTGGATGAGGAAGAGAGAATAAGCGAGAGAGAAGAAAGGGGGAGTGGGAGAGGATACAAGAATAGGAGAGAGAGGAGAAGGGGAATGGGTGAGGAGTAAGCGGAGAGAGATGGGAGAGGAAGAGAGAATAAGGGAGAGAGGAGAAGGGGAAGTGGGAGAGGAAGAGAATAAGGAGAGAGAAGAAAGGGAAGTGGAGAGAAGAGAGAATAAGCGAGAGAGAAGAAAGGGGAAGTGGGGGAGGATATAAGAATAGGAGAAGGAGAAGGGGGAAGTGGGAGAGGATGAGAGAATAAGCGAGAGAGAAGAAAGGGGAAGTGGATGAGGAAGAGAGAATAAGCGAGATGAGAAGAAACAGGAAGTGGGGAGGATACAAGAATAGAAAAGAGAGGAGAAGGAGAAGTGGGAGAGGATGCGAGAATAAGCGAGAGAGAGAAGGGGAGTGGAGAGGAAAGAGATGAGAGAGAAGAAGGGGAAGAGAAGAAAGAAAGGAGGGAGCTAGAAGAGTGAGAGAGTTGAAGAAAAAAATAATATGTAGGGAAAAGTATGTAGGACACAGAAAATTTAAAGTGATTTTTTTTTTGAAGAGTTAGATAAATGCAGTAAGCATAGGACGGGTATAAATAGACGAGTAAAATTAGAAATGTCAACATTTACATTCTACCCAGACATTACTCTCTCCTTTTCTACGTTGGATACACATACCTAGCCACATACGCACACACATACACACACATATACACATGTACAAACATATACACACACGCGCACAAACACACACAAGCAGCAACACACACACACACAGATATATCAATCTTTTCATTTCTCTGCCGCTGTCTCTGTCTGTCTGTCTGTCTGTCTCTCTCTTTCTCTCGCTCTCTCCTTCCACCTTCCCACCCTCTCTCTCTCTATTTTTATCTATCTTCTCTATATTCTGTCTACCTATCTATCCATCTATCATCTATCCATCCATCCATCTATCTATCTATTTAATATCTATCTATCTATCTATCCATCCTATCTATCTATCTATCTGATCATCCATCCATCCATCCATCCATCCATCCATCCATCCATCCATCCATCCATCCATCCATCTATCTATCATCTCATTCACAGATACCCTAATTTCAGTAAACACACGAGCACGTTACTCCCCTCCTTCTACACATGAAATATGTATGGATTTATGTATATTTATGCGGTACTGTAGTGAAAAAAAATAATACACGCTCAGTCGAAGAGTTATATAACACACCAAAGGCATATATGTATGTTGGTGATCCTTCCTAATTTCTGTAGTCTGGAGAATATATTTTTTCTTGTGGTACCAAATGGTGCTGAGAAGGTCGTATTATTTTATTTATTTTTTTATGTATAAGGGCGTGTGGATGTGTGGGATGTTATTATTTTTTTATTATGTATAAGGGCGTGTGGATGTGTGGATGTTATTGTTTTTTTATTTATGTATAAGGGCGTGTGGATGTGGGATGTTATTTGTGTATCTGTGTATCTGTTGGTTATGGATATGCGTATTTATACAATCTGTTTGGTTATTTGTCTGTCTGTCTGTCCCTGTTTATATGTCTATATGGGGAGGGATGAAGATGGGATAAGTAGAGAGAGAGAGAGAGAGAGAGAGAGAGAGAGAGAGAGAGAGAGAGAGAGAGAGAGAGAGAGAGAGAGAGAGAAGAGAGAGAGAGATAGAGAGAGAAGAGAGAGAGAGAAGAGAGAGAGGAGACACCAAAAATAATGAAAAACACAAAAACTATATTATATCTATCTATCCACCCTCTCTCTCTCTCTCTCTCTTCCCCCTCCCCCCCTCTCTCTCTCTCTCTCCTCTCTCTCTCTCTCCTCCCTCCCTCCCTCTCTCTCTCTCTCTCTACACACACACACACGCAGGCACAAACACACACACACATACACAACACCGCTGCTCTATGAAAAGCACAAGCTGAGCCCTGCCTCCCCCCCCCCCCCCCAAAGGTCCGGACGAAACCCCCCTCAGGCTGTTACCGCGCGCCATCTGTTCCCTAGCCAGTCCTTCCTTGGCAATATTTCTCATATGTAAATGGAAAACTGCGCTCTGTTATTTCCCTTCTAGCGTGGCTGGCCAAAGGGCAGGTCAGGTTGTCTTGGGGTTTCCAAAGGTCGGGGTCGTAAGACATATATAAAAAAAGTGAAATGGTTTTCCCTGGTCTTGTCTTTACGTAACTCGATTTTACCTTTACTTTGTCTAAGCTGAAGGGTAGTGACCTTACTAAGAATATGCAAGTGTAAGTTCGAGACCCTATCTATCTCTTAAATTCTTGGCAATTAATATCCTATGACATTATAGAGGAATTTCTTTGCATAACAAAAAGGTTCTTATATTTTCTCGTTATTTCAATCTTCCTTACTTATTTTACTGGACTTAAATAAACAAATTTCCTTCTACCGACCTTCGCTTCACTTATTCCTCCAAGATTTAAATTTTCCTAAAATAAAAAACTGCTTCTTTATTTTGATTCCTTAATTTATTCTAATGGATTTGAACAGTATTATAGGTAGTTTCCAAAATTCCATGAGAAAATATAATAAAGAATCTAAAAAAATACTGTAGTTGATCAAACATGACGTCACGGCTGAACTTTGCTGTCATAACATAGACCGGAATATACTGAAAGACCGAAGCTAGGATCAATTCAGTATCTTTGCATTTTGCTGTTAAATCAACCCACTAAAAGTTCTTATTCCATCAGTATCTTACCATTTGCAGTGTGCGTTTGCTGTTTGCTGTTAAATCAACCCACTAAAAGTTCTTATTCCAACTAAAATGACGTTTTAATCCTAATAAATGAACGTTTGTGATACTACTAAAAGGACATTTGTAATACTACTAAAAGAACGTTTATGATACTACATAAAGAATATTTGTAATACTACTAAAAATTAGTGGTAATACTAGAAGACATTAATACTGCTAAAAGACATCTACTATTATACTAACATTTATGATACTACACAAAAAGAACGTTATCATGTTAAAGAACGTTCTTAGTCAACCGAATATATAGTACATTAATTAAGGTCTCTGCGCTTTATTAACAAGATTTAGTAATTTATCATCTATGTCACTCATTCGTTAATTTACCATGATTCTGATGTATCGGAATCACCATAGAAAAGAAATAAAGACGAGAAAACAATGATAATGAGTTCGTGCTGAAACTTACAATATATGAATAAATAAGAATAGTACACAAAGAAATAGATTAATAAACAAATAGGAAAGACGCCATGTTTTGATGAAAGTATCCAGACGTCAAAATAGAGAAAGAAAAATATCGTATATCCTAACTCAAACAAACTTTCCGTCACCTTATTTCAAAATAGAATTGCGATCTTCCTTCTAACATTTCTCTCTCTCTCTCTCTCTCTCTCTCTCTCTCTCTCTCTCTCTCTCTCTCTCTCTTTCTCTCTCTCTCTCTCTCTCTCTCTCTCTCTCTCTCTCTCTCTCTTCTCTCTCTCACTCTCTCTCTCTCTCTCGTCTCTCCTCTCTCTCTCTCTCTCTCTCTCCTCTCTCTCTCTCTCTCTCTCTCTCTCTCTCTCTCTCTCTCTCTCTCTCTCTCTCTCTCTCTCTCTCTCTCTCTCTCTCTCTCTCTCTCTCTCTCTCTCTCTCTCTCTCTCTCTCTCTCTCTCTCTCTCTCTCTCTCTCTCTCTCTCTCTCTCTCTCTCTCTCTCTCTCTCTCTCTCTCTCTCCTCTCTCTCTCTCTCGCTCTCTTTCTGTCTGTCGTTGTATGTCTGTCTCTCTCTCTTTTTTTTCTTTCTCTCTCCTTCCTCTCCTCTCTCTCTCTCTCTCTCTCTCTCTCTCTCTCTCTCTCTCTCTCTCTCTCTCTCTCTCTCTCTCTCTCTCTCTCTCTCTCTCTCTCTCTCTCTCTCTTTCTGTCTTTGTATGTCTGTTTCTCTTTCTTTCTTTCTCTCTCCTTCCTCTCCCTCTCTCTGTCTCTCTCTTTTCTCTCTCTCCATCCCTTCCACTCTCTCTGTCTCTTTCTTTTTATCTCTCTCTCTCTCTCTATGTCTCTCTCCCTCCCTCCCTCCCTCCCTCCCTCCCTCAATCCCTCTCCCTCCCTCTCCCTCTCCCTCCCTCTCCCTCCCTCCTCACTCCCTCCTGATCTGGGTACGAAGATCAGCGTAGCAACAGAAGACGGGCCAACACGAAGCTGCAGTGATGTTGCAGTAGCATTTCTAGCATCTGTTTCCACCTGGTTGACTTCTTTCGATTGCCGCTGAGTCCGGTTGGGTCGGAGAGAGAGCACGGAGCGATAGAGGTATCTGTGGTTGAAATAGGTTTAGGTTTTTATCTTATTTTTTTTTTATTTTTTTTATTTTTTTTTGATTTGTTTGTTTTATTGTTTTGTTGTTGAAAAGGGGTGTGGTTTTATTATTTTGTCTTTTTTATTTTGTTTTGTTTGTTTTATTGTTGTTGTTAGGTGAGGTTTTTTATTTTTTTATTGTTTTGTTTTGTTTTGTTTTGTTTGTTTTATTGTTGTTGTTGTTGTTGTTGTTATAGGGGTTTTATTTTATTGTATTGTTTTTTTTTATTTTGTTTTGTTGTTTTTTTGTTGTTGTTAGGGGTGAAGTTTTTATTTATTATTGTTTTTTTTTTTTTTTGTTTTGTTTGTTTTATTGTTGTTGTTGTTATAGGGGTGAAGGTTTCTTTTATTTATTGTTTTTTTATTTTGTTTTGTTTGTTTTATTGTTGTTGTGGGTTTTGTTTATTGTTTTTATTGTTATCGTTGTTATAGGGGTGTAGGTTTCTGTTTGATTTTATTGTTTTTTTTTATTTAGTTTGTTTGTTTATTGTTGTTGTTGTATAGGGGTGAGGGTTTTTTATTTTATTTTATTGTATTTTTTAGTTTTGTTTTGTTTGTTTTATTGTTGTTGTTGTTATAGGGGTGAAGTATTTATTAAATTTTTTTTTTGTTTGTTTGTTTTATTGTTATTGTTGTTAGAGGGGTGAAGGTTTTCTGTTTTTATTTTATTGTTTTTTTTTTTTAGTTTGTTTGTTTATTGTTGTTGTTGTTATAGGGTTGAAGGTTTTTGTTTATTTTATTGTTTTTATTTTTTTTTTAGTTTTATTGTTGTTGTTATAGGGGTGAAGGTTTCTGTTTTATTTTATTGTTTTTTTTTCATTTAGTTTTGTTTGTTTTATTATTGTTGTTGTTATCATAGCGTTATGATTATTGTTAGCATTATGATGATGAAAATGATGATAGTATTTATTATTATTATTATCATTGTTATTGTTGATGTTATCATTATCATTATCATTGCATTTTATTATTCTTTTATTTTTCGTATTCTTATTCTTACTATTGTTATTGTATTTTATCATTTATTTTTCATTATTTATATAGATATTTTCGTAACGGAATCTTAAACTTTGTATCTTATTATTATTATTATATTATTATTATTATTTTTTTTTTTTTTTTTTGGGGGGGGGGTTGATATCGGTGCAAAAAAAAAAAAAAAATATCCACCCTATTTAAAATTATTGCATTTACTCTTTATAAAACCTCGGTTGAACTGACTTAAAAACTTAAAAGTCCAACAGGCCTTTTGATAAGCTCAGAAAAGAATAAAAATCATCAATTATCATGATAATATTCACCATCGGCTGTCACAACGACACTATACTCGCAGCCCCAACGTAGCGATCACAATCCCGTTATTATTTCCTTTTATTCGGCTTCTTTGTCGCCCGCCAATTAATTGAATGCGATCCAATTACGAAGGAAATCTCTCCGGATTAAATAAGTGAAGAGAATGCTAGATTTTACGGCCAGAGAGAAGCCTTTTGTCGCGAATCGGGAGGAAGTCTTTGGTGTTGGTCTGTTTTAAGTCTTTTTGTAGGAGGAAGTTTTAGGCCGAAAGGGAGGTTGTAGGTCGGGTGGAGAAGGTTTTTGTAGCATTTGTAATATCAAACACCACACGAACGCACGCACGCACGCACACCGGCACACACGACACGACAATGAATAAAGATTAAATGAAAATGAGTAAATAAATGAATAAGATAAAATGAAAATGAATGAATAGATAGATGAAATAGATTTATAAAAGATAATGAATAGAAATGAAATAGATTGATAAATAAAGCACCTCAATAATTAACAGATACCACTTAATTACCCAAATCAAAGCCTCGACACTTAATTAAACAAATTCCAGAAATATTTGTTGATGAGCATGCTGCGTGGTTTTGAGACAATGTTGAATTCGAAATGGAAAAGGTGGATTTTTGAAGTTGTCAATCACTTTTAGGCTTATGTAATTTTTTGCGAGACTGAAACCAATAGAATAACTGCGTGGGATTGCCATTTTAAGATTCCTATCCGCGAAATAGCAGTGTACTATTGTATTTTTGTTTGTTTTTTCGTTATAAAATCACTTAAAAAAGAAAATAAAAAGAAACATGAAAAATATTTTTTTCTTTCGTTATAAAATCACTTAAGAACAGAAATATAAGAAGAAACAAGATTTTTTTTTTTCGTTATAAACTCACTTTAAAAGGAAAATATAAAAAGAAACGTGAAGAAAATACGTTTTTTAATTAGAATACTGTTCATGCATGTTAAAATACTATAGAAACCTAAAAAAAATGAATGAATTTATTAAAGTAATTGACACGTATGAGTGATGAGTGTTTGCTTCCATTCCGTTGAAAACAAAGAAC